CCGTGGTGTTGCTGATCCTGATGTTCGTGAGGGTCATAAGCGCGCCGATTGACTCCGGAAGGGAGCCCGTGAGGTTCATCCCGGAGATTTCCAGGTGTTGGAGGGAGTTGAGGATGGTGATTGTCGGCGGAATTGGGCCCGTTTCCCAGAGGTTGAGCTCGATTCTCACGACCGCGCCTTGGGGGTTGCACTTGACGCCTTCCCATTTGCTGCAGTCCGTCCCCGCGCGCCACGTCTCGTTATAGATGTAGTCGTTAAGGTACGGCATCAAGGAGAGCAGGAACTTCTCCTGAGCCTGCTTGATTCGCGCGGCGTGGCTCGGGATGCACAGAATGCTTACAACGAGAACGAAGAGAGTTACTATCCGGGATGCGAGCGAGGCTGAACCATCCCTAGTACATGTACTGAGGAGGGGCGCCATCGGCGCTTCTGGGAAAGGACGTCACCAACAATTGGCTACTACCAGGCAACAGTCGAAACCAGCCAATCTCGAAACAGAAATGTGAAGTCTTAGACCGGAGTTTTCCGGGTCCGTAGTCTCTGAAGTAATTAATAAGGTGTTGCTGTTTACGATGATCTCGTGGAAAGGTGTTACTGTATATATAGTAGGCATATGAGAGGCGGGTGCTAACTCGACTCGCGATTGTAGGCTTGAGGAAGCAACAGTTGCTGATTTGCCACCATCAATCGCTGTCGTTGGCGGCATTTCCACTCGCCAGGAACCACGTGCCTGCTAAGCGGCGGGAGCCGTGGAAGATCGAGTCGCGCCAGCAAGGTACGGATGGTGTGATGCTTGTTGGCAACAAGGGAGACATCACAGCAGCGAGGAAAGACACAGCACAACAGCATGGATTTCGATTTGCAACAGAGATGCACGGATGAGCTATCACTGGTTGGGGTAAGGGCCAAATTCTGAATGGGAAACGAAAGCATTTTATTACTCTGTATAGATCGTGATGAGAGTCTGTTCGCAATTTCTAGCCCATTGTTCAGGGTACATCAAGTCCGGGTGGGAAGGGAACCGAAAGCAGCGTAGGCTGCTCTGATGCATTAAAGAGCTTCGGAACAGCTAAGTTCCTGAGACTCATAACAAAGCAAGATCAGTCTCCAGTTCCGACGGCCGATGCCTTCGCATTCTTGTAATGTGTCAGGGCCCTACAAAAAAACCAGAATCAGTCTTGAAGTGCAGGATTTTTGGAACACTGGTATCGATGACATATTTTGAACGACAATGCTTAGCTCAGGGCAGCCCGGGGACCCTCAAAATAGAAGCAATGAAACAAAATAAAGTGGTCCCGCCAATTTCGTGCGAGTGAAATGCGGCTTGTTTGGTGCACGACATTGAGATTCACCGAACCGCGAAGGTCCTCAATGTCCACTATGTGCGGGGCGAAGTAGCACATTCGCGGTTCCAGACGACTGCGGCGACAGCTGCGAAGCGGCCGATTGGACGGTGGCATCTTGGCAGTAACTGTACGACTGGCTGAGGTGTCTCGTACGTAGTGAGATGGCTGACACCTGACGTCATGTGTGCACACACGGCAGCTCGGGGGCAGCTTCCTGGCTGCTGACTCATGTCGAAACCCGCTTCTCGCTTCGTCAGTACACCTGCAATGTCGAATTACACATTCCATATAAATGGAAATGTATGGGCTAAAAGTGGAGGGGTCAAGCCAATGTGGATTTGTCGCATATTTACCGTGACAGCAAGTACCAAGCAGTAAAAACGGTGGACAAATGAAAATCCCATTTATTTGACCGATGAAAATTATGTTCTCTATTGGCTCCTGCTAAAACAAGAGGGGAGACATAGGATCGGGTCGTGCTGCTGAAGTCGGGAGAGGAGACGTGCAAGAGGCGTTAGAAAGGCTGTGGCACGGCGCAGAGGCAGAGAGCGGAGGCATGGAATTCGAGCTCAAAAATCTCGCGCGTGAGGTAGCGGGTCGGGGAGGGGGAGGCGTGTCTGGGGGAGGCCGCGGGAGAGTGAAGAACGCAGCAGCTGCTGCAGCAGCAGCAAAGGCAGCAGCTGCCATGAAGCCAGGGATGTTGCCCCCACCGAAGAATGCATCAAAGGGCCCGATGACTAATGACACAAACATCTGATGGACAGTGGCACAGGGGGGCAAAGGGGCAGCACAGGGGGACAGACAGGGTTGGGTAGGGGGGGTGGCAGTGGGAGGGTTGGGAGAAAATGGTTGCAGCAGCGGCAAAGGCAGCCGCTGCCATGAAGGCAGGGATGTTGCCCCCACCGAAGAATGCATCTAAGGGTCCGAAATCCAATGACACAAACATCTGAGAGTGGTGAACAGAGTAAGGCAGGGGAATGGCACAATGTATTGTCAGTTGGCGTGGCAATAGCGGCAAAGGCAGCAGCTGCCATGAAGCCAGGAATGTTGCCCCCACCGAAGAACGCATCAAAGGGCCCGATGTCCAATGATACAAACATCTGCGGAAGGGAGAGAGGGGCAGACAGAATTGGACAGAGTCAGACAGAGTCAGACAGAGTTTGACAGAGTCAGGCAGGAAGATGGCATAATGGCATCGGGTTGGTGAGGGGACAGTCAGTAGCAGGCTTGGGAGTGATGGCAACTGTTGCCTTAAAGACATGGATCCTGGCCATTCGGTGCATTTTCTTGGGCCCTTGCAACAATGCCTTGAATGGTCAGACACGAACTGAGAGCGAGTGGCACGGAGCGTCAGACAGAATCGGACAGGGTCAGACAGAGGGGTGGCAGAGGGGAGTTCTAATTCACTGCCTGTCGAATCACAAGGTTAGAAGTACCAAGTGGAAACCTGGGAATTCACCTGAGGCACAATATGAGCACTAAGAAACTCACCCGAGGCACACTAGAAACACCTGGAAATTCACCTGAGGAAGGACTATGGCGATGTTGAGAAGACCAGCTGCCAGACCCTGCCCGCCACCCCCTCTGGTGGTGAAGGACGCTGTGAGAGAGAATGGGAGGCTGTAGGTCACCTGCGGGTGGTGAGTGGGGCATGGTGGATGGCGGGTGGGGGATCAGAGCAGTTATTGCAAGTCACAAGGCAGGCCCTGCCCTCCGCACCCTCTGGTGGTGAAGGACGCTGTGAGGGAGAAGGGGAGGCTGTAGGTCACCTGGACGGAACGAATGGGCGGCAAGGCATGAGGAACAATGGTGGCGCATCAGGCAGACACAGCAGCTGCCAGGCCCTGTCCTCCGCCCCCTCTGGTGGTGAAGGACGCTGTGAGAGAGAAGGGGAGGCTGTAGGTCACCTGGAGGGATGGATGGGGCGTGGAGCATGGGGCATGGTGGTTGGTGGGTGGTGGGTGGTGGGTGGTGGGCCAGGAGATCAGACGTGAAGGCAACAGTCATTGCGAGCCACTTAGCGTACAGACCCTGCCCTCTTCCCCCTCTGGTGGTGAAGGACGCTGTGTGGGAGAATGGGAGGCTGTAGGTCACCTGGAGGGATGGGAGATAGGAGATGGTGAGATGGGAGATGGTGAGATAGGAGATGGTGAGATGGGAGATGGTGAGATAGGAGATGGTGAGATAGGAGATGGTGAGATGGGAGATGGTGAGATAGGAGATGGTGAGATGGGAGATGGTGAGATAGGAGATGGCGGACGGAATGGGTGGTGGTGGCAAAGCATGAGGGACAATGGTGGCGCATCAGGCCAACAGACCAGCTGGATGGGGCATGGTGGGTGACGTGGTGGGTTGTAAATCAGATCAGGCGTAAAAGCAACAGATTTTGCAAGCCATGTGCCAGGCCCTAAACTCCCGCCGCTTCTGGTGGCAAAGACTGTCGTGAGGGAGGCTGTAGGCCATTGTAACGAGGTGACTTTTGAGTCGACTCAAAAGTCACCTCCCGCCGCTTCTGGTGGCAAAGACTGTTGTGAGGGAGGCTGTAGGCCACCTGGGGTAGACGGTGGTTGGAGGATGGGGCATCGTGGAAACTAGGTAGGGGACCAGGTGTCAAGCAAGGCAACAGTCATGGCGAGTCACAAGGCTGTTGCCTTGACACCTGCTGTGCTGGTGAAAGGCGCTGTGAGGGAGAAAGGGAGGCTGTGTAACACCTGGAGGGTTGGATGGGGCATAGGTCAAACCCTGTGCTGGTGAGGTGACTCTTGAGTCGAATCAAAAGTCACCTCTGTGCTGGTGAAAGGCGCTGTGAGGGAGGATGGGAGGCTATGGTGGGGCACCTGGGGTAGACGGTGGGTGGGGGATGGGGCATGGGGGGTGAAGACAGCAGCTAATGCAACCCACACGGCAGGCGCTGCCCTCCACCCTCGCTGTGGGGGACGATGGGAGGCTGTGGTGGGGCACCTGGGGTAGACGGTGGGTGGGGGATGGGGCATGGGGGGTGAAGACAGCAGCTAATGCAACCCACACGGCAGGCGCTGCCCTCCACCCTCGCTGTGGGGGACGATGGGAGGCTGTGGTGGGGCACCTGGGGTAGACGGTGGGTGGGGGATGGGGCATGGGGGGTGAAGACAGCAGCTAATGCAACCCACACGGCAGGCGCTGCCCTCCACCCTCGCTGTGGGGGACGATGGGAGGCTGTGGTGGGGCACCTGGGGTAGACGGTGGGTGGGGGATGGGGCATGGGGGGTGAAGACAGCAGCTAATGCAACCCACACGGCAGGCGCTGCCCACACGGCACACGGGGACGATGGGAGGCTGTGGTGGGTCACCTGGGGGGTACAGTGGGTGGGGGATCCGTCCCGGTAACAATCTAACAGTAACGGGTAGTAAAAATAGTGGGAAGTAACACTATATGAAATAAGACTCCCACCACAAGGCACGACAGAAAGCTCACTGCCATGGGAGCGCCAAGAGCAGCAACAAAGGTGCCTTGATTTTTTGAGACGTGACAAAAATAGATTCCCAGAACAAGGCACAACATAACTGTACGACTCACCGCCATGGGAGCGCCGAGAACAGCAAAGATGGTGAGCGCAGAGTGCCGCTGCCTTAGCCACAGTTGACTGTAGCACGCGTGACAACACCGAAGAAGCACTATAGCAGCAAGACAGTAGGCCCACTCACCGCCATGGGAGCGCCGAGGACTGCAAAGCTGGTGAGCACAGAGTGCCGCTGCCTTGCGTGTTTTAATAAACTCAGACGCACATTAGCAGCAGTGAATGCGCCTGTTCCAACCACAGTAATAACTCTGATACCATGCATGACCCAACTCACCGCCATGGGAGCGCCGAGAACAGCAAAGATGGTGAGTGCAGCTGCCTTGGCCACTCTTGATTGCGACACGCCTGAAATGCTTGAAAATGGCAGCAGCAAGGAATGCTGGCGTGCTACTGCAGGCTGCGACTCAAGCATCGGCTCTAGCATCCCGAGTTTCCGTGCGCCTATCAGTTTCCGAAGCCCAGCAGTCACCAGTCCGTTTTGAGGCAGGGAGCAGCAGAGGCTACCGGTGGCATTTGCCTGGTTGAATTGAGGCACAACAGGAGCAGCAAAAGGCACAGCAGCAGGGGTAACCAGCACGTTTTGAGGCAGCCAGGATTGAGCGTCAACCCCTTGAGCAGGAGCAGCAGAGGGCACAGCAGCAGTGGCGAGCAGGCAAACAGCAAGCACCAGATTCCCCACGGCCCACACGGTCCTCGACCCGAACCTCCGGCACAGGGCATCGATCCTGAGGCTCGTCACTCCCTGCACCACCGAGTTCAGCACCAGACCTAGCGCTCCGAACCTCACTCCCCTGCTGTACGCCTTAAGAGCCGCCTCACTACTAGCACTAGCTACTCTGCTGGCTGCATAACCAGCTGCGTTACCAGCTGCTAAAGAAGCAGCAGCAGCAGCACTAGCTTTTGTACCACCAGCAACAGCAACCTTCGCTGCTCCAGCAGCAGCAGCAGCAGCAGCAGTCGCTGCTGCTCTAGCCGCTACTAGTCCAGATTCTCTAGGGTTACTAGATCCCCCAAACACCTCCCTGCCCATCCAGTCCGTATCGAAGAGCAGAAAAGGGAACCATGCGAGCCAGGTTAGGGCCGTGACTGCCAGCACTCGCAGCACGGGGGGGGGCAGCTGCTGCACTGAACTAACCAGCTCCCATAACAGCACCTGCTTCGGTTCCTCCTCTCCCTCTTCCTCCTCCTCTTCCTCCTCTTGTTCCCCGTTCTCCGCTTTCTCCTCTGTTTCCTCCTTCCGACTTGTCTCTGCATCAGCTGCCCTTGTCCCATTCGTCCCCATCTTGTGCCCCATTTCGCCTGCTCCCATCTCCTCTATCTCACTCGCACTGAACCCACTTACGCTGTTTCCACCACACTCTCTCCCACACTCCCTCCCACTCTCTCTCCCACACTTCCTTTCCCCTCCCTCCGACCCCTCCACCTGAACCAACTCACTCATCGCCTCACTGCTTTCCCTAGTCCTCCCCCCTCCCATGTCCGCATCAGCAGGGCCTGCTTGTAACGAATCAGCAGCAAAGAGGCCTTCTAACGAGTCATCCACAGGCCACACCCCACCAGTGCTGAATACCCCACTTGTGCCGCTGCCACTGATGCTGCTCCTACTGCTGCTGCTGCTGCTGTTGCTGCTGCTGGGGATGGGGACTTGACCAGTAACCAGAGCATGAACAGTAACCGGAGCATGAATAGCAGCAGGAGCAGCAGCAGGAGAAGAAGCAGGAGAAGAAGCAGGAGAAGAAGCAGGAGAAGAAGCAGGAGAAGAAGCAGGAGAAGAAGCAGGCCCAGCAGGGGGCGCGTGATGGGTGCTACAAGGCAAAAGCGGCTGCCTCATAAGGCTATCCTCGCTAAAAGCCTCCCTGATAGCAGCATTAGCAGCAGCATTGGCCCCAGAACCACCCGCAGCAATGCTATCACCACCAGCAGCACTGGCCGCAGCAGCAGCACTGGAAGCACCAGCACCGCCAGCAGCAGCACCACCAGCAGCACTACTATCAGCACCAGCAGCAGCACCAGAAGCTTCACTATCAGCAGCAGAAGGATCAGAGAGTGGTACCTCCGAAGCAGCAGACACGCTAACAACGGTTGACACCAGCAGCAGCACCACATGCAGCATGAATGCAGCCTTGAGATTCACACACACACCGTTACACGCCGCGGTTACCAGCGAGAACCCCCCGAACGGGCGGAGGAGGAGGGAGAGAGGAGAGGAGAGAGCGGAGGCTAGGTGGGGGTAGGATCCAGCTGCAAAGCCAAGCACGTTTCCGAGAGCCATGAACGCTGAAAAGTAGGCATTCGCCCTGCGAGTGCGCTTGCCTTCCGTGCCTGTAAAGGGGATGTTTAAAAGGAGGATAAGGGGGAAGAAGGGAAGCGCAAGTGGGAGATGGAAGCAGACAAGCCAAGCGAATTTCCAAGAGGAACTCCATGAACGAGGTGACTTTTGAATCGACTCAAAAGTCATTCCATGAACACAGAGAGACAGGAAGAGCCTAGGCCTTGGCCCGACAGGGGCATGTCAACAAGCAAGCAACATTCTTACGGTAGCCCTTTTCTGTGCGTGTATAAGCTCAGCAACGCTTTTTCTGAGTCGACTAAAAAATCGCCCGTTTCTGTCTTTCTGTCTACGAGCTCAGCCACACTCACCAGTAAAATCGGCCAGCAGAGCTCGACAGGGTCCCTGTAGGCTGTTGTTGGCCAGGTCAAGCAGCCTGAGAGAAGGGGCGAGAATGAGAGCAGACACACCAAGGGAAAATCAACCAAGGGAAGAAAAAAAAGGAAGCAGCATTTTCGGCCAGCAGAGCTCTATACGGTCCCTGTATTAGGCTGTTGTTGGCCAGGACAAGCAGCCTGAGAGAAGAAAGGGGTGGTAATGGGTGGAGAGGAGTGAGGGGGAATCAAGGGAATCTGAAAGAAGCAGGTGGACAAAGAAGCACTATGCTCCATCAGCAGAGCTCGACACGGTCCTTGTAGGCTGTTGTTGGCCAGGTCGAGCAGCCTGAGAGAAGGGGCGAGAATGAGAGCAGACACACCAAGGGAAAATCAACCTAGGGAAGAAAAGAAAGGAAGCAGCATTTTCGGCCAGCAGAGCTCGACAGGGTCCCTGTAGGCTGTTGTTGGCCAGGTCAAGCAGCCTGAGAGGAGAACGTGGTGATGTTGGGTGGAGGGGAGTGAGGAGAAATTGAGGGAAAATGACAGAAGCAGGTGGACAAAGAAGCAGTATGCTCCACCAGCAGAGCTCGACAGGGTCCCTGCAGGCTGTTGTTGGCCAGGTCAAGCAGCCTGAGAGGAGGGGTGATAATGAGAGGAAAACAGAAGGGAGAATGAAAGAAGAGAAGCAGAGAAGAGAAGCAGTGTGCTCCGCCAGAACAACTCGACTCGGTCCCTGCAGGCTGTTGTTGGGCGGATCGAGAAGCCTGAGAGAAGACAGGGGTGATGATGGGTGGAGAGGAGTAAGGTGAGATTGAGGGATTTATAGATGGAAGCAGTATGCCCAGTGAGCAGAGCTCGACTCGGTCCCTGCAGGCTGTTGTGGGGCGGATCGAGAAGCCTGAGAGAAGAACAGAAAATGGGTGGAGAGGAGTGAGGGGAAATGAGAGGGAACTTGAGAGCAGCAGGTGGAAAAAGAAGCAGAATGCTTCACCAGAAGAGGGAACTAGAAGAGCTGCAGGTTGTTTTGAAAACTCTCAAAAACAACCTGCGAGAGCAGCAGGTGGAAAAAGAAGCAGTATGCTTCACCAGAAGAGGGAACTAGAAGAGTTCGGCACGGTCCCTGCAAGCTGTTGGGTGGCCAAGTCAGGCAGCGTGAGAGAAGAAAGGGGTGATGATGGGTGATGATGGGTGATGATGGGTGATGATGGGTGATGATGGGTGATGATGGGTGATGATGGGTGATGATGGGTGATGATGGATGATGATGGGTGATGATGATGGGTGATGATGGGTGATGATGAGAGGAGTGAGGGAAAGAAGGGATTCTAGAGGTAGCAGGTAGACAGAGAGGCAGGCTGTTGTTGGCCAAGCAAAGAACCTGAACCCATATCCTTGCTCTATCCGGCTCAGATCAAACGCCTCTCCCACTCACCAGAACCCCAGGATGAAGACCACAATAGCTCCCACCAGCGGCTGCCCTGCTTCCACCCTCGCATCCCCCAGTGCATAGCCCAAGTCCCTCGAAAACGCTATCAGCATCGCCGCCACCGCCACCAGAGCAGCACGGCACACACATCCCATCCCATCCCATCCCACCGTATCCCATCCCACCTCAGTACTTGCAGGTCCAAGAACGAATGCATCTCCTTGCTTGCTCTATCCAACTCAAAACGCTTATCCCACTCACCAGAACCCCAGGATGAAAACAACAATCGCTCCCACCAGCGGCCGCCCTGCTTCAATCCTCGCATCCCCCAGTGCATAGCCCAAGTCCCTCGAGAACGCTATCAGCATCGCTGCCACCGCCACCAGAGCCGCCCCCGCCACGATAAAGGGCCGGCGCCGCCCATACGGGCAGCGACAGCTGTCGCTCCAGTGACCAATCAGAGGCTGGGGGAGAGAAGGAAAGGTGGGGGGAGGGCAGGAGGGAGAGAAGGGGGGAGAGTGGGGGGAAGAAGGAGATGGAAGGGAAGGGAGACAGGACAAAAGGATAGATAAAGCAGCAAGCAGGGAAGGTTTAGCTGGACAAAACTCCAGTGGTTATTGTACGACTAAACACCACTACCACTCTGCTCCAGTCAAGGAGGAACACTTAACTTTAAGGCGCCTGTTTTAAGAGGCCCAGGCATGGGAAATACCGAGCTGCTGCACATAGGGCAGTTAAATCAAAACATCACCTTTTAACCCACCTTCTTCCCCAACCCACACTCCCACCTTTCCCCCCCCAGTTACGACCTGCACCAGTAAATACCTGCACAAACAGGCCGGACAAAGGCCCACAGAGCCAGATGTAGGAGGCCCAGGCATGGGGGATACCGAGCTGCTGCACGTAAGGCGTGAGTAGGGACAACTGCAGCGCCCATCCGAACTGCAAGCCTGCAGCAACTGATGCCACCTGGCGGATTGTGATTGGAGGAAGACGGAAGATAAGGAGTCAGAAACAATATTGCTTGTAGGATGCTTAGATGCTTTGAAGGCATAGGGAATACCTATGCTGGAAAAGACAACTGTAGTTAGCACGTCCAGCAGAAGAAAAAAGCGGAGCAGCAACACATTGGACTAATAAAGCGAGGTTTACGAGTTTAGGAAACGAAGGCATGTTCGTCAACGGAGCGAGATAAACAAGGTGGTATCTTCTGGAAAGAAACTCCAAGATTGAGCAAACAAGGTGGTGGGTAGGGTGGTGGGTAAATAGGGACACCCATGGAAGGAAGCTCTGGGAGAAAGCACCAGGTGTGGTGCAGCAGACTCGTACTTCAACCAGGTTAAAACCGGAGGAACAGTCTCCTGCCAGCCGACTCTTGAGGGATGCGCAAAAGACACTTAACTGACTGATTATTTTCTATATCTTAAAATTAGCATTTTAAGCAGCACCTTGGCTAGACCAATCAGGGGAACTCGCTTCTTCGTCCCAGCCTTCAACGGACGGTTCTGATTTCCTTGTTTGCCACCTCCTGAAGATCTCCCGATGTAGCCATCACCGCCTGCTGCTGTTGCAGACTCTACGCGGTTATAAGGACTTGCAACACTTTCGCTGACGTCAACGTCGACCTTGCTGCTGACGTCAGCCTCTCCTGCACCCACGAGTCCAGACCTAGAGTGCTCTGGTTGATTCCTCTCCATCTGCTGCTGTCCCCAATACTAGCTGTTGTTTTAACAGTTGTTGTATTCGTGGTCTGTCAAGGCTAAATCCTGTAATTGCATACTCTCTTGGTACGTAAGTTGATAAATTCCTCTCTTGGCATTCACTGCCAGCCTAAGACGAACGGAGCAACAACGTGACGCTAGCTTAGAAATACTAAATTTAAGACGACTCTCAATGACGGCCTGTCCTAAGGTTTCCAGCCGGAGGATAGCGCAAACCTTCGGACAGACGGAGAGTTACAGCCAGGACAAAAATCGGCAACAGAAACTGCAGGCAACGTAATGGCGACAATAGGGAGTCTCTGAGCTTAGCCGTAGCTCGAGGCGATTCCTCCCACTACCAGCGAAAGCAGGTCTCACTTCCCAACCGAACAACCAATCACGGCTCGGCGCGCATGGATTCACAACCCCCGAGCACACAAGTGCAGCTCACCTCTTCCTGTTTCCTCTCCGCCGATTCAGATTAGGCTCGCCTGGCCTCGAGTGAATCTCCCACTCGCCAGGCAAAACCATTCTAATCATGCTTCCAGTTAGGCCTCTTCTCGATCACATTTCAAACCTGGAGTGGATCAGACTTAACGAGCTCAAGACACGTGGCACGGGAAGTCGAGCCTGGATGAGACTTCTAGTAAGTAAACTTCCAGCTACACTCACCTTTCAGAAGCGTAACAGGGTGTTGGTGGTGGCATCCAATCGCAGCGGGCCCAGCTTGTCCCTTCAGATTCAGATTCAGCCACCTTGGTACTTGTTTCTGTGACGCGACTCGAATCTCGTTTCAGCGAAGCCACAAGCCAAGGGCACAAAAGACCCCGATTGGGTCAAGGAACATGCTTCGGCACTGGAATTTCGCACAGCACCACACTTGTGGCGGATCCATGAGAAAAGCGCGCAGCGGTGGTGCTCTAATTGACGCTCCAGGCTCACAGAGCTTCAGCTGCCACCGAAGACGAGTGAGTGCGACCCGTCAAGCTGATGTGATTTGGTACGGGTGACGACGGTTACCCAGCTGCTGACGTTAGCAGGGGGTTCGCCGCACATGCAGGGGGCCCACAGTTGTCCCCCATGTCATTAGCGCGCTGCGGGGTGTCACTACGAGGTAGAATAGGTGGCGTACAGGTAAGCAGAAGAATGTAGCTTTTCCGTAGGAACAATAATTCGACACAGCTGTTTCCGATATTACCAAAAGGCACACTGCAGCGTGTATTCCAACGATGAATATACTCCGCCCAGCCTACAGAACTGTTCACAGATTCATGTCAGTCCATCCGGGCCCTGGTGGGTTGGCTTCCACCAGGTCCCCCCCCTGGTGGAACCGGGTTCCCACCAGGGCCGCACGCGGATGCCTGGTGTGTCGCGTTCCCCAGCTGGGAATTGCACGCGAGAGGGAGTTGCCCGCCCGCATGCAGGTCCCTAGCGAGATCCGGGCGGCGGAGTAAGCTGGCGGGGTGGTCCCGCGCCGAGCCCCCTCCACGCCAGCGCCACGCAGTGTGGTCCCAACCCGGTCCCAGCCCTGGCTCCCGAAACCCCCTCGCGAAACCCCTCGCTCTCCAATCCGAGGGCGAGGAGCGGTCCCCGAGCACGCCGAAAAAGGAACCGGCCAATCGGAGCCGGTCCCGAGCGATGCATGCGTCGGATGCCCCTAGCGAAACCCTTCGCACGCCAATCCGCGCGTGCGAAGAAAATTCCGAGCGGGCCGAGACGGATTCGGCCAATGGGAGCCGATTCCGAGTGATGGCTGCTTCGGATGCCCCTCGCGAAACCCTCCGCACGGCAATCCGCGAGTGCGAAGGGAAATGCGAGCCGGCCGAAACGGATTCGGCCAATGGGAGCCGATTCCGAGTGATGGCTGCTTCGGATGCCCCTCGCGAAACCCTTCGCACGGCAATCTTCGCGTGCGAAGAGAACGCCGAGCTGGTATGGGCGATTTCGGCCAATCGGAGTCGTTCTGCCAGACTCGGAATTCTCGCACGAGCCTCGCGAAAATTACGAGCCCACGCCACGCGTCGCAAGCGCGCGACTAGTGCATCGTCCCATGCATGTTCGTTTTCTTTCCCCTTAGTCTCAGTGTATAATATGCCCGATTAATTAAAAAGTTTCTGTGCATTTTGCTTCGTGTAGCTGGCGTCCACCGATAATGTTCTACTGTATATTCTCTTTATAGATTGTAGATTTATTCGGGTGATCCGGTTGGGTGCTTTGGATCGTTACCTCGGATTTCGGCGGACGCTACGAGGAATGCTCTCCGCGAGAGGTGGTAACCACCACGGATTCGGGCTCGCGGTTGGAGATCTACGTGGCGGACGAGGGTTACACACGCGTGCATGAGCAGGATTATACATCCCAAGTCCGACGCGGCACGCGGAGTCACAGGCACGCGCAATTTGACCGCGCGTCCCAATTCTTGTTTCACCCTCGTCCCCCTCTTAGCTTCTCGGTAAGGGTTTCTGGTGCTCATTTTCGTTCTCCATCTTCACATCATCTTTCTTCCTGCTCGCCCGTTCCACCTAGCGATGTGCAACGCCTAATAACTAGCAGCTACTCTGCTCGACCGCGTTCGCGTTTAGTCGCGTGTATTTTTAGCGGACGGTTATTCCTAGTTACCACGTACATCCTGTCGCGGAATGAATCGTGAAATGAAGGCGCTGAGAACGGGTTCGAAGGAGGCCGCCTCCTATCCGGCTATCATATCTGTTGCGGGAGCCACCGTAGAGCTTGCCCCCGACCAGTGGAAGCTGCTTGGCGAAGACAAGCATCCGTTCACGGCAGGATTATTCGATTTTGTCACTAGGTGAGATATCGTCAGACCATCCATACCGTGATTCCGTATGAACGCGTGGTCTGTGGTCGCGTTGTATGTGCAGTATGCTAATCGCGACATGTCCGCCGTATTTACAACTGGACTGTGCTGTACGTCTGCGGCGCGTTCACTGTACTATTTCACCCCTGCCCGCACAGCGTGATTGTCCGGAAGTTTCTGGCTCTGGAGGTGCAGGAGCACGTCCGAATCGTGACGAGCAACGTTGTCGCGGACATAGTTGCGGGTCGCGATGACGCGATCGACGCCTTTGCCGGTGTGATGGAGTGCAGACTGGTTGCATTCTGCATCTGGTCCGAGTGAGTATTTAATGGGCATCTTGACTATGGCCTGACTCCTTTGCGTGTATTAACGCGGTCATCTCTGCGCCGTGCAGGAACATGGGCGACAAGAAGAGCTCGAACGCGTGCATGCTCCTCCTACATCGCCCGGACCACCTGTCGCTCGACGGTGACCAGACTTGCAACACTCGGTTCGTTTGAGTAGCTACCCCCCCCGTTGGCGAGGAACACGTCACCGCGACGGAGAAGATTGTGCAGTGAGTATCGCGGACATGTGTCTGTTTATACCCGTGTTACTTCACGCTCTCTAATTCTCGGTATTCGCATGTTCCCGTGGATATGTTTGTGCGGTTGGGCATGTGGTTTCAAGGTCGCGTTCGCGCGACTTTCGCGCACGCCTCCACTCAGTGCACCAGATCCCGCCAGCTTGGGGATCGCGCACGTCTGGTCGAGCTGGTATGTGATGATGTTACACGCGTGCGAGATGACCGCGGCTATCATCAGACGTGCTAACACATTGCTCCTTTTGCTTTTCAGGACGCGGCTTCTGTGAAGGGCTCCTGCGCCAACATTGCCTGCATGTTTGCGTTCGACAAGATGATATCCCAGCTGGACGACGTGGCTGCCAAGGGATGTTGGCAGCAGAACCCGAAGCCTACCGCCAAGAGTCTGACCGCACTGCGGCTGGAGGCGTTCCGCGCCGCTGAAGCGCTCGCGTTCGACATGAGCGTGGATATGACGCGCCCCAAGCACGGCGGTGACGCAGACGGCAGTGAAGCGGGTAAGGTGCAGCAGGAGCCAGCGGGCTCGCAGGTTGCCGACCACGGTGGTCTCGCTCTCACTGGTGGTACACAGCAGCGGCAACAGGACAACACGGCACATGGGGCTGACCGCATTGCAGACGTGGGGGACGCGGATGACGCGTGCAAGGGGAAACCGGAGGATGGGGCTGATCGCGCTGATGGGGCTGATCGCGCTGAAAGGCGTGAGTCGGAAGAGTCGAGCGAGGAGTTGGCGGAAGCTCACGAGGTCGCGGCCGTGGCTGCCAGTAGGCCTACAACATCCGGGAAGAGCATCAGGCAACTCGCGCAGCATCTGGCACCCGGAGCCGGGAGCGCGGGCCCCAGTGGTGAGTTTGGCGGCAAGAGTCCCGTGAGTGGTCCGCGGAAGTTCGACGCATTGGCCGCGTTGCCAGCCGTTATGCTGGCCGAGGAGATTATGCGGCTCGATCACAAGCTGGCATCTCAGGGGGAACAGATTGCCATGCTGAAGAAGCGCCCTGAGTCTCGGGAAGGTGGCGTCGCGGTCGTCTCTTACGAGGATCTCGCCGCGGCAGTCGAGAAGGCGCAGCGTCAGATGGAGAACGCGGCTCGGGGCATGGAGGAGGAGTCTAAGGCTCTCGCGTTGGAAAGGGCCGCACTTCGCGATCAAAGGAACCAGGAGGCATTGGTTCTCGCTCGCATTGATGCGAGGCTGGGACAGCTGCAGGGGGTGGTGGTCGACTCCATGGAAGGCGCGCAGAAGAAGCTGACTGACGAGGTATCGCGGAAGATAGACAACATGTCGTCCGCGGTATCGGCCACATCAGAGCGTGCCATCACCACCAGCGGGGTCACACACGCCCTGAACACGATCATCGCCCTAGTTGCCGGGAGCCCGCCGCCGCGCATGGACGCGGAAGAACATAACGCGTGCACCCGTTGCACGGGAGCGGCAGACGGTTCGGCATTATTTAATTGCTGCGCGGTTGTGTTGCCCGTAGCATTGATGGAGTCGTGAAGTGTTGGCACCGCGACGCGGTTCACGGTATGCATGCAGCGTGCTAGATTGCCCCTACTCCTATTCACCGCGTGCGTCAACATGATGCGCGGTCACTACTTGTTCACCGGGGTGTGACTTGGAAGCATCTACATCGCGACCGTGGTGCTCGCGGACATTCGGGCGCGGCCCATAACGTAACCGCGACACTGGTTTGGGGTTTTCCGTCTAAGACCGGTGAATCCAGTGGGTCATGAGAGGGATGAGCTTGGTGTGCAACTGGCGAGCGTAAAGCGAAAATGCGCGCAAGCTCGGAGTCATAACCGGAAGATGCGTGGACGTGCTTGACACGTTACCGCGATCGCTCCTCGACCAAACAGCGACAGCTGTGTGGCTCGTTCAAATTGCTGCACGTGTCGGCCAGCATGGAGCCTACCAGATCGCGCCAGCTGTTTCCGAGCCGAATCTCGCTTCGCGCCTACCGAACCTATCATTGTGCGAATTTTGTTCGCGATACGTTGCGAGGCACCCCAACCAGTAGTAGCTCCCCTTGTTTTTCGCGAACGCGCCTGTGCATGCGCGGGATGTACCGCCTGTCAATGTTACCGACCAATCGCGTTCGTTGTTTACCGAGTCGCGCATGCATCGGCGCGTAAGAACGACGTGGGTTCTTTCGGTTTTTTGGGGGTCGCGGAGATTTCGGTGGCAGCCTGGTGGGTTTCACTGAGCCACTCAGGGCCGCGCTAGGTCCAAACCTGGTGGGATCCTGGTGGGCCGACTTCGCCCCACGCCTCCCGCGATAGCTCCGCGCCCCGTACATCCCCAGGCGTGGGCGGGGTTTTTCCCGAGCCGCGCCATATGAACATACCAGTCCATCCGGGCCCTGGTGGGTTGGCTTCCACCAGGTCCCCCCCCTGGTGGAACCGGGTTCCCACCAGGGCCGCACACGGATGCCTGGTGTGTCGCGTTCCCCAGCTGGGAATTGCACGCGAGAGGGAGTTGCCCGCCCGCATGCAGGTCCCTAGCGAGATCCGGGCGGCGGAGTAAGCTGGCGGGGTGGTCCCGCGCCGAGCCCCCTCCACGCCAGCGCCACGCAGTGTGGTCCCAACCCGGTCCCAGCCCTGGCTCCCGAAACCCCCTCGCGAAACCCCTCGCTCTCCAATCCGAGGGCGAGGAGCGGTCCCCGAGCGCGCCGAAAAAGGAACCGGCCAATCGGAGCCGGTCCCGAGCGATGCATGCGTCGGATGCCCCTAGCGAAACCCTTCGCACGCCAATCCGCGCGTGCGAAGAAAATTCCGAGCGGGCCGAGACGGATTCGGCCAATGGGAGCCGATTCCGAGTGATGGCTGCTTCGGATGCCCCTCGCGAAACCCTCCGCACGGCAATCCACGCGTGCGAAGGGAAATGCAAGCCGGCCGAAACGGATTCGGCCAATGGGAGCCGATTCCGAGTGATGGCTGCTTCGGATGCCCCTCGCGAAACCCTTCGCACGGCAATCTTCGCGTGCGAAGAGAACGCCGAGCTGGTATGGGCGATTTCGGCCAATCGGAGTCGTTCTGCCAGACTCGGAATTCTCGCACGAGCCTCGCGAAAATTACGAGCCCACGCCACGCGTCGCAAGCGCGCGACTAGTGCATCGTCCCATGCATGTTCGTTTTCTTTCCCCTTAGTCTCAGTGTATAATATGCCCGATTATTTAAAAAGTTTCTGTGCATTTTGCTTCGTGTAGCTGGCGTCCACCGATAATGTTCTACTGTATATTCTCTTTATAGATTGTAGATTTATTCGGGTGATCCGGTTGGGTGCTTTGGATCGTTACCTCGGATTTCGGCGGACGCTACGAGGAATGCTCTCCGCGAGAGGTGGTAACCACCACGGATTCGGGCTCGCGGTTGGAGAGCTACGTGGCGGACGAGGGTTACACACGCGTGCATGAGCAGGATTATACATCCCAAGTCCGACGCGGCGCGCGGAGTCACAGGCACGCGCAATTTGACCGCGCGTCCCAATTCTTGTTTCACCCTCGTCCCCCTCTTAGCTTCTCGGTAAGGGTTTCTGGTGCTCATTTTCGTTCTCCATCTTCACATCATCTTTCTTCCTGCTCGCCCGTTCCACCTAGCGATGTGCAACGCCTAATAACTAGCAGCTACTCTGCTCGACCGCGTTCGCGTTTAGTCGCGTGTATTTTTAGCGGACGGTTATTCCTAGTTACCACGTACATCCTGTCGCGAAATGAATCGTGAAGGCGCTGAGAACGGGTTCGAAGGAGGCCGCCTCCTATCCGGCTATCATATCTGTTGCGGGAGCCACCGTAGAGCTTGCCCCCGACCAGTGGAAGCTGCTTGGCGAAGACAAGCATCCGTTCACGGCAGGATTATTCGATTTTGTCACTAGGTGAGATATCGTCAGACCATCCATACCGTGATTCCGTATGAACGCGTGGTCTGTTCAAAGAGAACATGCGGAGCCCCGTGAACGAATTCTCCGGAATTCTGCCCGAAAGCATGTTGTTCTGGATATCCAACCACACTAGTTCCGGCGCGCCTCGCACCGCAGCCCACGGAAAGCTTCCTGAAAGCCCGTTAAACGACAGGTCAAGTCCGTTAAGCTTCGGCTGATTAGCTAGAAGAAACGCGGGAACAGGTCCGGTCAGCCTGTTTCCCGCAAGATTCAGGTTCTCGATGTTTTTCATCTGCCCGAGGGTTGCGAGGATGCGTCGAGCGACCTTGTTGTGGCTCAGGTCGATGTCTCTCAACTTCGGGTGGTTCGCGAGAGGCGCTAGCGAAGTAACGATGAACCCGTTACGCTTTAGCGAAAGCACTTTCAGCTTCGGGAGTCGCAGAAGAATGTTCACGGGAAGCGGACCCCCCAAACGGTTAGTCCCGATCGCCAGTATCTCTAGACCGGTACACGCCGTCAGACTTGACGGCAGCGCCCCTTCAAGCCGGTTATTCTGAACCAACAGGTACTTTAGCGCCCTCAGCTTGCCAATCTCCGTCGGAATGCTACCGGTCAGGCCGTTGTCGCCAACATTGAAACTGTTCAGAACGGGAAGGGCGCCAATCTTTTCTCCCGGAATGCTTCCCGTGAGGCGATTCCTCGAGAGTCCCAACTCCTCCAATTTCTTCATCGTCCCGTGGAGGATAAACCGGGGGATGGGACCCGAGAAGCGATTGGGGTCTCTCCCACGTGTAGCAGTCCGTGCCTGCGATCCAGGAGTTGGCGTATTGAAAGCCGGGCCAGCGGGATTTTAGGAAGAGGAGGACGGATTGATCCGGTTTGTAGATCTTGGCGGCTTCGGAGAGGTAAGGGGAGCTGCTGGGGAGGTTGTTGCCGCGTGAGCTGGTAATAGTGAAGTGAGTGGATGGAGCGATGAGAAGGAGGGAGAGGAGAAATAAGGTGAGAAGGATGGGTTGGTTACTGAAAATAATGGGCGGCGCCATGATTGCGATGGAGACGTCACGTAATGGCGGAAAAGTGCGAAACGCAAGTGGAAGAGAGTGTTGGTAGATCGCATCAAAGGAAGGTGTCAAAAACGGGAATCTTGCTGAACTAGAAATATAAGACACGAGCAAGTACACTTCCAAGGACAGCTCAGTCCCTGAGCAGACCGCCGCCATTGAGCTCCATTCAGCAGTGTTTTGGTTTGGAAGAGCCATTCGCCTGTCTGCTGTGGTTGTGAGCTGTGCATGCCTGTCAATTGTTCGAAAGCAAGCAGGTCATCACAGTCAATTGGTGGTGGCGTCAAGTCATTTGAAGTCACATGAATGACAGGGAACGAGAAGGACAGAGCAGTACAATTGGATCGGAACAGAAAGGCAGGAGAGCAAAAGCAGTCTCCCATCGCCTGCTTCTCGCTCGGTGCTGAGTGGTGTTGGTGATCGATTCCGAGAAATCCAAGCTCTGCGAAAATTGAGCGGCGACCGCGACGCTGTGGTGGGTGAGGTTCAATTCAAGGCGCGGTTTCGTCATCGAGGTTACATACCACATCATCGTTGTCATGCTTCGGAGGTTTGGCAGCTGAGGTGGACGACAGTTAGAGGGGTAAGGAAACAGGTCCACCAGGTCTGTTCCTTCGGGTCCCTATGAAGCAGCGTCAAACCTGGCGGGAAGCTAGAGCACTCTAGCCTCGAACCTCGCCCACTGGCCCCGTCACAGCCTTCCATAGGATGACCAAAACATGCAGGTTCGGTATGAAAACCCGCTATGAAGCAAAGCGATATAACCTTGTAGTTCAACTTATGCTAAGTTATAACAGTTATGTGATTCGGTAATGTTTGAAAACATATAATGTGGCCTAAGAAGTATGGTTGACGGAATCGAGGGAATATAGGGCACTCGTTACAAGAAACCCATCGCGACAGAAGGGAATGAAACGGAACAGAAGTGGCCTTTCTCGAAACCGTACCCGATCGTGATTTCACGTATGAAACCGCGCTGCACATTACACACCTGAAGGCACCTTGCGCCTCGGGTTTGTCTCGATTCACTACAGTACACATTTCAACGCAAAGTCGCCAGATTTCCACGTAGGGCCGCGGCTCGCTCGGTTCGGTTCGTTTCGGTTCGGAGCAGATACCCTGACCTGGGTCCCAGCCCTGGCTGTTGGTGCTGTTGCATTGCCTGCAAACTACCAAGCTGGGCTTGACCATCCAGGGAATGAACGCTTGACGGTTTGGTTTGAAAACCCGGAGCCGAACCTATGCGCTGTACATGTTTGTGGCAGTTGGTTGTGCTTACCTCACTATAACGCAAGGCACCAAATTGAACCGTGGCTAGCTCATCTGGTGTGGGATGAATCTGAATGTGAGCAGGCAGGAGCAGTTGGGGAGTATGGCAAACCTCGAGCCTGTTCCGAACCTAAAACGCCCCTCGTGCCTCGGTTTGTCGCTCCCCCTTTTGATGTGGCACTGGAGATTAATTACTCTCGAGTCGCGACCAAGTGTGACACAGATTTTTCTATCATATGCGACGCCCACGCGCCCCGAACTGTGCTTACTGACGGTCACTCAGTCAGATGCGCTTTCTTTAGTAACGGGCCTCAGTGAATCGGAAGATCTAAACGAGAGCTCAGAGAAGGAACGAGCTGACGAAGGAAAAAAGCGAAGTAAATCGAGCTTCGATCTGAACGGATTATGTTACTCCTTTGAGACAAATCCGCAGTATACGCCATTCCGAGAGGCGTCCCTCATCTCGCCGCAAAAAGCGGCTCCTTCGCCGGTTACATTCCATTTCAGACGTTTTTTAAGATGGTCGTGCCGTTCGCGATTCTTCTCTTATCCGCAATCGCCACTGCCAGCTCAGCATATGGTAGCCCTTATACCGTAGCGCCTTATACGGATTTTGACGGTTCGAAGAGCAGTCACGTCGCGAATGCGGCGGTTTCATCGTCTTCCGCAGATCCCACCTACACGAATCGGGCGCGACAACGCCCGGGCAATGCACAGCAACGACTCCGTCTATCCAGCCGGCTAGCCGTTCCGTCAGAAGTCGACGACGCGGAAGCTTCCCCGGATCGCCGTGCTCTTTCCGCCACGGATCCGCGCGTTTCCGCGCCGAGCCTCTCGTCTGGTCCGAACCTGGTCTCTACGTTCGCTTTCATGCAGCCTCGGGATCCGCACCAGGTTACGCCGGCTCCTCCGAGCCTGCCCCCCCCAGTCCTGCCCCCCCCGATCGCGAAGTCTCCGCCAGTCAAACCTCCGCCAGTCAAGCCTCCCCCGGTCAAGCCTCCGCCGGTCAAGCCTCCGCCGGTCGCGACTCCGCCGCCTCCGCCGTTCTTCCAGCCGTGGCCAATCAACGGGCAGGGAATCTTCAACGTGCTACAGTTCGGTGCGCGCGCGGACGGGCGCACGGACAACACGGACGCGTTTCGGCGCGCGCTGCTGACGGCGTGCGCGTGGGGGAAGGCGCGGAGCGCGTACGCGCGCGTGGTGGTCCCCGCGGGCGGGCTGTTCCAAACCTTCCCCGTCAACCTGGAGGGGCCGTGCGGCGCTGGCCTGGAGGTGCAGGTGGGTGGAAAGGGGTGAAAGGATGGGTGGGTGCGCAGTAGATTCAGGTTCGATTTAGGTGGGATTCAGATGGGAGGTGGGTTTAGAAACGCGTAGGAGCTATTACGTTCCCTAGAGGTTCCCTTCCCAGTCTAGCGCGCTCCCCTTCCTTGGTCCTCACTGCCTCCTCCCCCCCTCCCCCTCTCCCCCTCCAACCTTCCCTCACACACCAGATCAAAGGTGGCATCGCCGGGCCAGCCAACGTGGCCGCATACCCCAAGCAGCGCAAGAGCAAAGTGTGGGCTCTGTTATATTTCAGGGGGGTTCCCTGCCTGTGCGTTCCGCCCTCCCTTGTTCCTCTCTGCTCCCTCCCTCCCTCCCTCCAACATCAGATCAACGGTGGCATTGCCGGGCCAGCCAACGTGACCTCCTACCCCAAGCCGTGCAAGAGCAACGCGCGAGGGCTCTTACGTTTCAGAGAGATGCCCAACCTGTGCGTTCTGCCCTCCCTTGTTCCTCTCTACTCCCTCCCTCCCTCCCACATCAGATCAATGGAGGCATTGCTGGTGCTGCCAATGTCACATGCTACCCAAGCCGCGCAAGAGCAACGCGTGGGCGCTGCTGCTCTTCCGCGTGCATTGGGGTGTATTTTGAGGCGCCTCAAAATACACCTCAATGCACGCGGATTTCATACGGAGAGGATTACAAGAGCAACGCGTGGGCGCTGCTGTTCTTCCGAGAGGTGCCCAACCTGTGCGCTCCCCTCTCCCTCGTTCCTCTCTGCCCCCGCACCCACCAGATAAATGGAGGAATCGCCGGGCCAGCCAACGTCACCTCCTACCCCAAGCCGCGCAAGAGCAACCTATCCCCACTGCCCTTTCCGTCCCTTTCTTCCGCTGCTATCTCACACAACAGATCAACGGTGGGATTGCTGGGCCAGCCAACGTGACCTCCTACCCCAAGCCGCGCAAGAGCAACGCGTGGGCGCTTCGGTGCCCAACCTCGCGCTCTCCCTCCGTGTTCCTCTGTCCTCTCTCCCCACATCAGATCAACGGCGGGATTGCTGGGCCAGCCAACGTGACCTCCTACCCCAAGCCGCGCAAGAGCAACGCGTGGGCGCTGCTGTTCTTCCGCGAGGTGCCCAACCTGGCGGTCACGGGCGGCGGGTGGATGGACGGGCGGGGGGCGGGGTTCTGGGCGCGGGGGAAGGGGAGCAAGCGCCCAGCCCTGCTCTTTCTGATGCACTGCGACAACGCTACCGTGCAGGGCATTGGAATGACGTGAGTGGTTTGTTTAAACCCAAACCCTGCCCTCCGTACCTCTGTCGGGGTTCCGGCCGGCGCTGCTGTTCCTCATGCACTGCGATAACGCTACAGTGCAGGGCATAGGAATGACGTGAGTAGTTAGCTTCTTCTGTCCTGGCCTGCCTTCGTGTCTCTTTCCGGGTTCTGGCCGAGGCAAGGCCAGCAAGTGGCCGGCCCTGCAGGCTGCTGCTTCTCATGCACTGTTATTTAGATGTCTTCAAAGCAACCTTTTATCAAGGGGAGCAAGCCGCCGGCATTGCTGTTTCTCATGCACTGCAATAATGCCACCATGCAGGGCGTGTGGTTGATGTGAGTTGGTTGTGTTTCCGGGCCTTTTCGAATAAAAGGTTACATGAGTTGGTTGAGTTGGGTGAGTTGGGAATTTGACGAGTTGACGTTGTGTTACAACCTCTCTCTCACTTTGATCCACTTCTTTCTTCTTTCTTCTTTTGATTATCTCTGTTTGTTTATGTCCCCGTGCCTTTATTGTGTACAGCAATCCAGGCAAGGCACACCTCAAGGTGTATGGCAGTAACGGGCTGCTTATAGAGAGGATAACCACTCGCAGCCCATTCAACAGCCCCAACACGGACAGCATTCAACTCTCCAAGATTGAGAATGGGGTCATACGAAACAGCCATCTGCAGGGAGGTGAGTCTCTTTATAACGAGGACAAACAAAAGAGATCAAACCCTACTTGCATTCAAGAAAGTGCATCCAATCCACACACAGTCACCTGCAGGGAGAAGAATACATTTTTTGTGAGGAGGTTGATGAGAAAGAGGTGTATCCAATCCACACATGAAGTGCTTGTAACCGAAGTGTAGAAGATTGAATGTTATGATGGCCACAGTATATATCCACAATACATATGCTAATGACTACACACATACCACAAGCAACTGTAGCTGATCCAGTGACTACTGATTGCTGGTGCAATGTTTCCCCCAGCCCTCATCCTCTTTCCCCCAACCCACATCCTCTTACCCCCAACTCCCATCCAATCAGGAGATGACAACGTGGCAATCAGTGACGGCTGCCATAATCTGCTGGTTGAGAATCTCGTGTGCATCAACGGTCACGGAGTGAGGTGAGGAAATGAACGGTCACGGAGTGAGGTGAGGAAATGAACGGTCACGGAATGAGGTAATCTCATCAACGGTGATACATCTCTGTGTTTTGTCTGTCGACTAAAAAAAGGTCTCATCTTTCACACTTGTATCCCCCTTGCCTCTCACCCAACTCAGGTTGAGTCGCCCCCACCTTGTCTCTCGCCCTTCCTTGTCCCTCGCCCCACCTTGTCCCTCGCCCCACCTTGTCTCTCGCCCTTCCTTGTCTCTCGCCCTTCCTTGTCTCTCGCCCTTCCTTGTCCCTCGCCCTTCCTTGTCCCTCGCCCTTCCTTGTCTCTCCCTTCCCCTTTGACATTATGTCTCCTCTTCCCTTTCATCCTTCTCTTTATCCTCCCCTTACTCCCCACCTCGCTCTTCTTCCTCCTCCTTTTTGTCACGTGTCAACCCTGCACCTCCCTCTCCATCCCTCCTCCCTCTCCATCCCTCCTCCCTCTCCATCCCTCCTCCCTCTCCATCCCTCCTCCCTCTCCATCCCTCCTCCCTTCCTTCCAGAGCATCGGCAACCTGGTAGAGGACCGCGAAACAGCGTGTGTGTGTGTGTGTGTGTGTGTCGGATGTGCTTGTAAGGAACGTGAGCTTCACGGGGTTTAACAACGCTCTTCCCTTCTCATCTGTCCTCCCCTCCCCCATCTCCCGTTTCCTCTCTCCCGTCCACAGCATTGGGAGCCTGGGGGAGGACCGAGAGACCGCTTTTGTGTCAGACGTGCTTGTAAGGAGCTTGAGTGAGCTTCACGGGGGCAAACAATGCTCTCTCCCCTCTCATCCTTCCTCTCTGCCTTCCACAGCATTGGAAGCTTGGGAGAGGACCAAGACACGGGGTGAGTATCAGACGTGATAGTAAGGAACGTGAGCTTCACGGGGTCAAACAACGCTCTTTCCCCTCTCATTCTTCCTCTCTGTCTTGCCAGTATCGGAAGCTTGGGAGAGGACCAAGACACAGGGTGTGTGTCGGATGTGCTTGTAAGGAACGTGAGCTTCACGGGGTCAAACAACGCCCTGCTGTCCCCCCCCCCCTCGTCTCTCCCCTCTCATCCTTCCTCTCTGTCTTGCCAGCATAGGAAGCTTGGGAGAGGATCAAGACACGGGGTGTGTGTCGGATGTTCTTGTAAGGAACGTGAGCTTCACGGGGTCGAACAACGCCCTGCGAATCAAGACCTATCAGGGAGGCAAGGGGCTTGTATCGAACGTGACTTACAAGGACATTCGGGTGACCGATGTCACATGGCCTATCATCATCAATCAGGTATGCAGTGTGGTGCTCGCTCCTTCGCATCAGACTCTTTCAAGTTGCTGCTGACTGCTCAATTTTCCTCCCACCCAACCACCCCATTTCCCGTCTCCCATCGCAGTTTTACTGTGATGCCTCTCCCAGTAGGAGGGAACGAAAGGAGGCAGTAGCCGTCACAGACATCAGTTTTATCAACGTGAAGGGCACGGCCAACGGCACCCCTTGTGCTACCCCTTTCCACACCCTCCCCCTCACCCCTCAGTAAATGCCGGGAGCGAAAAGAAGCAGTAGCCGGGACAGACATCAGCTTTATCAACGTGAAGGGCACGGCCAACGGCACACCCCGTCCTACCCTTTCTGTACCCCCCACCTCCCCCTCCTCCTCCCCCCACTGCCCGGCCTTTCCCATTTCCCCCCATTTCCCACTGCAGTTCTCCTGCGACACCTCTGCAAGTAAAAGTGGGGCAGAGAAGCAGCAGTGGTGCCCCGCCTTCGTGTCATCCTGTCCTCAACCCCCCATTTCCCATCGCAGTTCTCCTGTGACGTGACACCTCTGCAAGTAAATGCCGGGAGCGTAGAGAGGCAGTATCCCCCCTTTCCATAACCCCCCCTCTCCCTCTACTGCCCGGCCTTACCCTTCCCATCGCAGTTCTACTGTGACACCTCTGCAAGCAAGTGCGGCGAGCGAAAAGAAGCAGTGGCAGTGACAGACATCAGCTTTATCAACGTGAAGGGCACGGCCAACGGCACACACGCCATTCTCTTCAACTGCAGCCGATCCGTCCCATGCACGTCCCTCATGCTCTCCATCATCCTACTCTGTCATCCTACTCCGTCCCTCATGCACGTCCATCATCCTACTCTGTCTCCTCCTCTTCCTCCCTCGCCTCTCTCGCCCAAGTGTCTCCTCTTCTCACGGAGTTCAACTCAGCCTATGGCATCACTACAGGCCTCCTCTTTCCCACTCCCAAGGTGAGCATTTCACACACACATGCACGCACTTACAGCACACTTGCACACACACAGAGAACCGCACACACATGCACACACAACATAGAACTTTCCATGTCACACTCCCCATTTCCATCTCCCGAGGTGCGCAGCGCAGATTCACCTCCCTCACTTCATTAACCTGCCCACCCCCCTTGCGTCACCCTCCACTCCGATCTCTCCCCAGGTGCAGGGATGGGCCTCCCTCACCTTAAAGCCCTGGGAGGGGGTGCGCAGATTCACCTCCCTCACCTCATTAACCCACCCACCCCCCTTTTTGTCACCCTCCATTCCGACCTCTCCCCAGGTGAAAGCCTGAAAGCACCTCTCCCGAAAGCCTTCAAGCCTTGTATGAGGCGCCCCAACAACCCACCCTCAACCCCCCTGTTTGTCACCCTCCACTCCGACCTCTCCCCAGCTGCAGGGAGGGAAGGGCCACCCTCTCACTAAAGCCTTTAAGCCTTTTATGAGGCGCCCCAACAACCCACCCCCAACCCCCCTTGCTTCACCGTCCACTCCGATCTCTCCCCAGGTGCAGGATGGGCCTCCTTCTCCCGAAAGCCCTCTAGCTTGTTGCAAGGCACCTAATCCCGAAACTCCTTCCCCACCACTCCCCACTCCGATCGCTCCCCAGGCGCAGGGAGGGAAGGGCCTCCCTCTCCCGAAAACCTTCAAGCCTTTTATGAGGCTCCCCAACAACCCATCCCCAACCTCCCTTTTTGTCACCCCCTGCTCCGATCTCTCTCCAGGTGCAGGGATAGGCGTCCGTCACCCAAAATCCCTATAGCTGTTGCAAGGCACCTAATCCCGAAACTCCTTCCCCACCACTCCCCATCCCAATCTTCGCAGGTGCGAGGATGGACCTCTGTCACCCCAAATCCGTACACCCGCTGGCTAATCAACTCTATGGCAGCCCAGTGCGGGTGAGTGGGTGGGTGTGTCAGAAGCACAGTGAGCATGGGAGTCAATTATTCATGTCCATTGTCCCTTCAAACCCACTAAAAAACACCTCTCCCTGAAAGCACCTCTCCCTGAAAGCACCTCTCCCTGAAAGCACCTCGCCCTGAAAACACCTCTCCCTGAAAACACCTCTCCCTGAAAGCACCTCTCCCTGAAAACACCTCTCCCTGAAAGCACCTCTCCCTGAAAACACCTCTCCCTGAAAGCACCTCGCCCTGAAAACACCTCTCCCTGAAAACACCTCTCCCTGAAAGCACCTCTCCCTGAAAACACCTCTCCCTGAAAGCACCTCTCCCTGAAAACACCTCTCCCTGAAAGCACCTCGCCCTGAAAACACCTCTCCCTGAAAACACCTCTCCCTGAAAGCACCTCTCCCTGAAAACACCTCTCCCTGAAAACACCTCTCCCTGAAAACACCTCTCCCTGAAAGCACCTCTCCCTGAAAACACCTCTCCCTGAAAGCACCTCTCCCTGAAAACACCTCTCCCTGAAAGCACCTCTCCCTGAAAACACCTCTCCCTGAAAACACCTCTCCCTCCATCCCAAAGCTACACACCCAGTGGGTCCATCCCCATATGGCAGCCCGGTGCGGTGAGTGTGCCAGAGTCAGCAATGTAACCTGGACTGTGAGTCAAGTGAGTCAATTCCTGTCTCGTTCCCTCCTCCTCCCTCCTGCTACCAATGCTACAAATTCAATTCCTCACATCCCTCCCAATTCCTTGTGCAGGTCTGAGCAGGCCTGAGCAGGCCTGAGCAGGTCTGACTGAGGAGGATGAGTGGGTCTCCTTCCCCCTTCCCTCCTGCTTCTCCCTGCTCCCATTGTTGCAAATCTCATGATTCCATCCCTTCCATTCCCCACTTGTCTCCTCCAATGTGCAGGTCTGAGCGGGTCTCCTTTCCTCCTTTCCCTCCTCCTCCGCCCAAGGCCCCAACCCCCAAGCCACCTTCCCCCAAAACCCCCACACCAAAAACACCTTCACCAGTTGCACCTACCCCCAAAAATCCCACACCGAAAACACCCTCCCCAATTGCACCTACCCCCAAGCGAGTAGCCCCACCCCCTGCTGGTTCGTTCAAGCCCAGACAGCAAAGGCCGCCCATCTCTCCTCCTTCTACTGCCACGTCATCACATCTGTTCCCTCGTGCTGAACCATCATCCTCGTCATCACTGTCGTCTTTTGGGATGCCTCGAAGGATGTCACATCTGTTCCCTCGAGCTGAATCATCGCCGGTGCCGTCCTCTTTGCCCTCCTCCTCCTCCTCCTCCTCCTCCTCCTCCTCCTCCTCCTCCTCCTCCTCCTCCTCCTCCTCCTCCTCCTCCTCCTCTCCCTCACTCACATCATTCTTCTCAAATCGCCTTGTGCAAGCCGAGGCTGCTCGCGCTGAGGCAAGGAGAGAACAAGCGTTTCAGCTTCATTATAGTCACACTCATACTCACACTCCTCAGGGCCTTATTGCCAACAATCACATTCGGTCCTCGAGACGTGTGGATATACATGCATCGACTTCCACCCCCCCTCCTCCCCTTCCTCTTCCTTCCTCTAAATCTTCCTCTCTGCTCCCCCCTACCCAATCATCTCCGTCGGTCCCAGCCCTACAACATTAACGCTTACATCACATTGCACACCGATAACTAAACACTGTCAGTTGTTTGTTTCTCGCACATTTCACTTAGCCACAGCTCTTTGCTCGAGAGCAGGGCTAATGATAACGTGATCCATGCAATGGAGGTGCAAGAGAAGGGCTGGGTGCGCCGTTGCATTGTTGTGCATGATTGTAGCATACATATACTGGTATCTTAGTAGTATGATCCGTAATGTTTCTATAATGGTGAAGTTCACTCTTTGAAATTTCGTAACATTTTTTTCTCATATTTCTCGCCGTACCTGAAAGGTGTGATGTGGCATGTCAAGTGCAGCACGCAGTCACCACAACAGCAAACGCGCCTCGATTTCACATCCTCGACAGCAGTGCGACTCGATTCCCCCCCTCGCCCAGATTGCTGAAAATTGATCGTCACACGGCGCCGTGCTAGCATCAACAAGGGCAGCTGTCGTGGGTTTTGCTCGATTCTTCTTCACTTGTTTGTGATGCTCTCTGCCTGCCGTCTTCCTTCCCTCACTTCACTTCGAATTTCGTGACTGCACGATTCACAAGGCACGCACAACTCACGAGCACAGCTTCACACTGACTGCGAATCCTTCTTAGGCAACCTTGAAGAGAGCTTGACGGCGCCGGCCTTGTTCATGAGAGGAAACAACGCCCAATACGCGTTTCAACAGCTACTCCCAACCAAGAACCAGCCGGCGTCCACCTACTACCGAGCCGTCCTCAGCACACCCCTATCGATTTCTGTATATATGCGCACAAGACGATCTGTTGCAACGAGTAGTTTAGAAGTTAAGATTTTCTTAGTCTGTGTCGAAGTGAAAAGCCCCGCCCTCGCTTGGGCGTAGGCGTTCTCTGCGACGCCATGGTGAATTCGACGAAAGCGGTCCTCGAATTGGTTTAGAAGCCCAGCGCGTCCTCTGAAACGATGGGTGGATTTCGAGGAGGTCGTCCTCTTGTCGGCTAGCCCATCGACGAGCTCTGGTCGACGGGGTGCTGTTCGATGAGCTCGTCCTCTGATCTGATAGTGAGTCGCGCGATCTCTGACGGACGGAGTGCTTTCCGAGGAGCCCCGTTCTCTGATCGAAGGGCGCCGTTCGGCGAGCCTCGTCTCGGCGAACTGGTCAGCCGAATTCGCGCGACTGCGAAGCTCTGCGAAGGCATGCGAATTTCGACCTGCGGAATGGCATCACGTGCTCGACGGTGGACATCTGACGAAACCGTCGGAACGTTTTATACCTGGCACCTGCGCAATGTCTCTGACGGTGCAACCGTCTACCTGCACCTACTCGGCAGGTGTGCATCTGTGCGCAGATATTCACCTGCGAATGCAGCACTGGCAGGCCGCCCTGCTGCAGCGATGGCATGTCGCCCATCTGCTACGCTGGTAGGCCGCCCTGTTTCAGCGTTGGCGAACCGCTCTGATGCTGCGCTGACAATTCGCCTTGCAGAATGCTTGCTAGGGGTTGCAATGCCATTCTAGTCATATCGACTTGCATGCCTCATTGTGTACTCTAATTCTGAATTCTCAATGTTTCTTTCAATTTCTTAGTGGAAGCTCTTGCCAATTTTCTCTGTGAACACAGCAAGTAGTAAGAACTCTGCTAGAGCGCTACGATCACCCGCACAACCCCATGCCCTCCTCCGTAGTCCACTCCCGTTGTAGGGTGACTCTCCGCATGATGCGGTAAGCGTGGACGACCCCGCGTTTAGAACCTTCAGATTAGCTGACTTTTGCGCTCAATACCTAAGTCGTTGTAGGCCGGCAACCGTCTAGACCGCCATGGACGACCAAGAGGTCGATGCAGGAGTAGGAGATACTTTGCAGGCGCGGCTGGATGGTGTTCGGGCACGCCATGAGGCTGGCGAGTACGGCGAGGCGGACTTGGAGATTTTGCTCTTAGGAACTCGTGCGCAGTGGGCGCATGAGCACCCCCCTCCCTGTGCTGAAGCGGACGGCGCGTCCGCCTCTCCCCGACCCGTGCACAACGAAGGTGACAGCGGCAATGTTGTCGGCGGTGGAAGCACGAGGGTTCGCGGAGTGATTTGGGCCGCCGACGTTGGCGTTGGCGGAGTGCAGGCGCAAGTGCTGCGGTCTACGGCCGCAGGCAGCTCAAACGGCAACATCGATGGTCGACGTCATTCTCCTCAGCGGAGTGGAGTCAGGCCGATTTCGGCGACTCATGCGTCGGCTGGTCGAGACGGAGGCATCGCGCCGTCGTACGGCTACTTCAAATTTTCGTCGGACAAGATCGCTGTGCCGAAGCCGCTCGAAGGACGCCACGACTTAATCACATGGATAGAATCCATCGAGCCTCAGCTGGAGATCGCCGGATTGAAGAAGTTCGTCGACGAAAATGTGGAGACGCCGGACGAAGATGACTCTGAACTCTGGGCGGAATTTCACGCTGCTCATCTTCTGACCTTCATGGTCATTTCGAGGTGTTGTTCGCCGCTGGTGCAAGTCGCGTTGAAGCCATGCAGACTTCGAGTGGACGCCGGCTGCCAAGCGTGGCAGTACATCATGCACACCTACAAGGCGACCGACGACCTCTACATCGCCCAAATGGAGAAGAGATTGACCAACATTCGGTTGGGCGAGCAGGAATCGGCGACCGAGTACTGCAATCGAGCGCGGCGAATTCTGGCCGACTTGCGGATGGCCGGCACGAATACTCGGTGGCGTCGTATGTCACGCATGTCATCAGTGGCCTCCCTTCGGGCTACAATCTGATGCGTCGGATGCTGACGATTCCTGGCACGCACGAGACTCTGAACGAGGACTCGCTTTCGAGCCACATCATCCAGGACGAGTTCATGCAGGAGTCTGAGCGGTCCACGGAGCTCCTTCCGCAGGCCAACTACGTCGCTCCGACGAAGCAGGGACGTCAGACGGGGCAGCGTGGGAAGTCGGGCGGAGGCGGAGGCGGTGGCGGAAAGTCGTGGAACACGAAGTCGTCGGAAGGCGCCGACCGCGGGAAGTCGGCAAAAGGTAATGATCGCGGTAGCAGTGGTTCGCGTCGAGGAGGGCGCCGGTGCTACATTTGCGGAGACCCCGACCATCTCTCGTACGACTGCCCTGACCGCGACGAGTCCGACGACGATCAGAGAGGAAGCCGTGGAAAGTCTGAAATCGGCCGTCGATCAGAGGACGGGAAGTCTGACAGCGACCGTCGTCGTCGAGACAACCAGCCGCGCAAGGAGAAGCCAGCGTCATCGAAAACGGCGTCGAAATCGGAGGGAGATACCTTGAGCGGCAAGGAAGCCTCTTGTTCGATGGTTGGCGTGGTCGAGTCAACTATTTCGCTGGCGCCGGAGGCTGGCGAATACTTCCAAGCGGTCGCAGCAGCTGTGCAGGCGAATCCAACCGTGGTTCTCCTCGACAGTGGCTGCTCCCATCATCTGATGGGAACGCGAGAGGCCTTCGTCGACATGAAGCTAGGAGGCGAAATCCGTCACGTGCGCGGCTTCAACGGGGCGCTTCAGAACGTCGAAGGCCGTGGCACGGTTGCTCTGAAAGGGGAGGCCGGGAAGTCGATTCTAATCCCCGACGTGTTGTACGTCCCTGGAGTGCACGCGAACTTGCTGTCGGCTGGTTAGCTGAAGGACAACGGCGTGAAGCTGCAGGACGAGGGTGACGAGATGCTGCTCGTTTCCGCTGCAGGAGATGTGCTCGGTCGAGCACGCTACACCGGCCGAGTTCTCTGCACTGACTTCCGCCCCTGCTCCTCGAAATCGACGACACCTTCGACGGAGGCAGTTGCTTTGCGGACGATCGCCTCGGCGACGAAGTCAACGCCGGACAGGTGGCACGCGAGGCTCGCGCACGTCGGCATCAACACGATTAAGAGTTCGGCGAAGCATGAAGTTGCCGTCGGATTGGACATCAAGCAATCGACCGGATCCGATCTGCCGTGTTCCTCCTGCGTCGGCGGCAAGCTGGCACGGCATACATTTCCAGAGAAGTGCTCGGATGCTGAAAACGCCCTCGACGTCGTGCACATTGACCTCTGTGGCCCCTTCCGTGTGGCCGCCGCAAATGGGAGTCTCTATTTCCTCCTCCTCAAGGACCGCAAGACTCGCTTTGTATGGGTCCGCCCGATCGCAAAAAAGAGCGGCGTGTTCGAGAAGTGGCTGAAGGAGGCGGAGCGGCAGACGTCGAAGTCGGTGAAAAGGTTGCGCTCTGATCGCGGGGGCGAATTCCTTGGCAAGAAATTTACCGACCTTGTCGAGGACAAGGGTATCCTCCACAACCTCACGTGCCCCAAACATGAACAAACATGCGCCACGTGCTGCATAGTTGTGCTAACGAGCTCCAAAAAGTTCCTATGGCAAGGGAATAGGATGTACTACCTGAAATTGTGAAGAAATAGTGGTAAAAAAGGCATCCAGATGTTGGCGAGCTCACATGTTGCACACAGGCCTATCCTTGCACAGATTCACCATGGAACGTACAAACATGCCCCACGTGCTGCGTAGTTGAGCGAACGATCTCAAACCAGTTCCTATGGCTAGGAAATAAGATGTACTACCTGAAAGTGTGAAGAAATAGTGGTAAAAAAGGCATCCAGACGTTGGCGAGCTCACATGTTGCGCACATGCCTATCCTTGCACAGATTCACCATGGAACGCACAAACATGCGCCACGTGTTGCGTATTTGTGCGAACGATCTCAAACCAGTTCCTATGGCTAGTAAATATATGTAGTAGGGAAGTGTATGAAGAAATAGAGGTAAAAAAAACACACAGACGTTGAAACGGTGACATGTTGCGCACAGGCCTATCCTTGCACGGATTCACCAAGGAACGCACAAACATGCACCACGTGCTGCGTAGTTGTGCGAACGAGCTCAACCCATTCCTATGGCTAGGGAACAGGATGCACTAGGGAACTGTGTGAAGAAATAGAGGTAAAAAAAACACCTAGACGTTGAAACGGTGACATGTTGCGCACAGGCCTATCGTTGTTTGAACCACCATATCTTCCTACCACATGCTGCGACTGAAACCAAATCTGTCCAGCATGCTTGCAAATATAGTACATGTAGGAATGATCAAGAGAACCCTTGCTTAAAATGACAAACGGACGTCGATACGGCACCGCGTCGCGCACAGGCCTATCCTTGCACAGTTTTCCCTGGTCGGTTGTTTGAACCACCATATCTTCCTACCATGTGCTGCGAATGGCATTTAATCTATCCAGCATGCTTGCAAATATAGTAAATGTATGAATGATCAAGAGAACCCTTGCTTAAATCGACAAACGGACGTCGATACGGCACCACGTCGCGGACAGACCTATCCTTGCACACTTTTCCTTGCTCCATAGTTTGAAACAGCATATCTTTCTACTACGTTGTGCGAATGGCACCAAATGTGTCCAGCATGCCAGCAATATACTGAACATGTGAAGCATCAAAAGAAACACTGCTAGAAATAACAGCAAGACGTCGAAACGACACCGCGTATCGCTCAGGCCTATCCCTACACAGATGTCACTGCTCAATTGTTTGAAACATCATATCTTCCTACTACGTGGTGCGAATGGCACCAACCGTGTCCAACATGCTTGCAACATACGAAATGTTTTAAGTATCAAAAGAAACCTTGCTAGAAACAACGACAAGATGTCGAAACGACACGGCGTGTTGCTCAGGCCTATCGTTGCACAGTTGTGCCAAAACAATTGTTTTAAACACCATACGATGATAAGTGGTGAAATTTTATGCACACATTGATTTGTATACAACTCGAAACTTAGTTCGAGGCAAAATTTATTATTTTGTAACGTGACTCGATATTGTCGTCGGCAAATATTTGACCAAGTTCAAACTATGGTACAAGAATATGCCTGAGTGTGACAAAAAGATTTGAAATCTCCTAAAAATGATGTATATATTCGTCTTTATAATTATCTGGCATGAGAACTTAATCACAAGAAACAACATTTAAAACATACGTTTTATAAGCTAAGTTACACTAATAGTTATGCGAAGAGTGGTATGTATTTCTACATATCAGGGTGTGCACTATTCCTAATCTCACCCCCCCTTCCCTCCCTCGCCTCGCCCCCCCGTTTTCCCATCCGAAATCAGTCGGAAATCAGGACAGTTACTGTAGATCGTGACGCGACTCGGCTGACCCTGCACATTTGGTCAAAACACAACTGGCTTCAGTTCTTTCAGTCCGAAAGCCAGTGGTTTTCAGCCGGAAATCCATCGGAAAACCAAGCCTGGCAATTTTTGTCAAATGCCAGGCTTTGTGACCCTCGGATCCCCCAAACCTAAACCAGGTTTTTTGTGATTTGTCAGATCAAGGATTCCAGGTTAAAGCCCGCATGCAAAATAGTTACCCCCCCCCCCCTTCTAGTTGGGTCCACTAGAAATCTCATGAAAAATTTCCAGAAAGTTTGGTGTTTTTTTTCCGAACAGGGCAAGTCCCCAAGTAGTAACAAGACCGATTTGAAGTTGTTTCCGACTTCTGATACGATCAGTCGCAACATGCACAAAATTGTCGCAAGCTTGCTATGACATTTCCACTTCTCCCACCCATCCAAATCCGCATCGAGCACAACACATCACAAATTTCACAACGGAACCTGCCACCACACACGCAGCATACACACAATGTTGAGCTAACGAACAACACAGAGTGATGCAAGTAGCAAACAGAAGAACGACAAGGTGACTCGAGAGGAGAGAGAGGGGCCGACGGGAATTAGAACGGTAAGGGAGGGGGTATAGCGAGGGTGATTTACCGTACAATGGGGGAGATCGCGGACGACGGAAAATGGAGTAGATCGCGTAGGCGACTGCAAATGGGGGATCGCTATGAGATCGCGTAGGAGATAGCGAGCGCGACGGGGAGAGGGGGGAGTAACAACGAGCGCGACGGGGTGAAGGGGGGAGATAGCGACGGCGCGGAACGTGATGGGAGATAGCGACGACGCGAGACGTGCTTGCTAGCTTAACTTATGTCGCGAGACGTGATCGGAGGGGGGGCCATGAGCGCGAAGGCGATGCGAAGACGATAGGAGATGAAGTGGGGAAGGAGAAAGGCGACGGGAGGGAGAGCGCTAAGGCGATGGGAGGGAGAGCGGACAGGCGACGGGAGAGAGAGCGCGAAGGCGAAGGTAGGGAGGGCGGACAGGCAACGGGAGGGAGAGCGCGAAGGAGACGGGAGGGAGGGCGCCGACGGGAGGGAGAGCGCGAAGGCGACGGGAGGGAGAGCACGAAGGCGAGGGGAGGGGGAGCGGACAGGCGACGGGAGAGAGAGCGCGAAGGCGAAGGGAGGGAGGGCGGACAGGCAACGGGAGAGAGCGCGCGAAGGAGACGGGAGGGAGGGCGCGAAGCCGACGGGAGGGAGAGCGCGAAGGCGACGGGAGAGAGAGCACGAAGGCGAGGGCGGGGGGAGCGGACAGGCGACGAGAGAGAGAGCGGACAGGCGACGGGAGGGAGAGCGCGAAGGCAACGGGAGGGAGAGCGGACAGGCGACGGGAGGGGGAAGGGTTATCGCGAGGGCGACGGAAGGAAAAGGGGGACATCGAAGGCAACGTGAGGGAAGGGAGATAGTGAGGGCGACGGGAAGGAAGAGGGGACATCGAAGGCGAGGGGCGGGAGAACGGGAAGGTGACGGGATCGGAGGGAAATCGCGAGGGCGAGGGGACAAGAGGGGTGAACGGGAGAATAGCGGACCGGGAGGGGAGACCGTGACGACGACGGGAGGGCCGTGACGACGACCGTGACGACGACGACGAGACAGCGAAGGGAGATAATGAGGGCTATGGCTTAGGGGGGAGGATCGCTTGTGCGACGTGGTGGGTCCGACTGTGATGAGCAAATTGATGATTGCGCGAGACGGGAAACTGGCACTGCGCTACCAGGCCACGTAAACCTACATTTCACACTCTTGCTAAGTCGACGATTGACGCACTCGTCGGTAATTACGTGGCTATGACACGAACGCCTGTGCTTTCAGCTGTACTACTTACTATGCTATGCGGAAACTAGTGATGAATGGATTGACAGAAATCTAGTAATGCACCCACCACCAGCTTGAAAATGAGGTTGGGCCTGCAATGGGAAACCATCGCCTGGGGTTTGTCGTGCGGATGCGGCACGCAAAAATGCGACGGCTGAAATGAGAAAGAAAGTTCATTTTGGCGGGAACCATTACGTTCCATTGTGGCGAGAACCAATAACATGAGTTCACTCTGCCCATACAAATCATTTGAAACATTGTTTTTGATACTGGTTTCATCCTCACTTGCAACTCCTCATTCAAGTTGGGACGGGGGTCACTATTTTGTTTCTAAGAAATAATAACCTCATATCAAAGCTCGAGCTGCTTCGTTTCTGCATTGTCAGTTCGTTCCTTGCCTGCATTCTCATTTGGACCTTTTGCTTCACTGAAGCCAATTGCTGTACTAAAATAAAGGCGTCTGAGCTGAACCTCGCTAAGCAGTTTGCAACACGTTGGCCTTGGGTCTGACTGAGAAAAGCTGTAGGTGGAAAAGATAATAAGGGTGCGTTTCTATCCCGTGTCAGACATCAGGTCAAAGCTTCGGAAGACACAAAGTGACTCGGTTTGTGTCTTCCGAACCTAAATTTGCCAGCATTCCGAGTCCCTTTTGGTCTTCCCAACCTCAACTTCGTGTCTGGCTTCATGTCTGACACGGGATAGAAACTGTCCTAAGTTGCTAGCTCAACCGAGGCAGGAGGGGCGTTGTAGTTTCGGAAAAAGGCTGCCGCTTACGTTGCCCCTGCCCCGGCCTTGTTCATTTCACGCGCTCCGAATTCAACACGTGTTCTAACGGTGCGTTGCATTTGTGAGCGGTACAGATTCAAAACCTCAATCTCCCACGGTGATTGAGTGGGTTGTGTTGTGTGTGTATGTCGAGTCGTCGATCTGAGCGCCCTCTTCTCCAACCACCATACATGGGCGCTAGGTTTGGTACCATGTTTTCTAGCCGGACCGGATAGGTTTGGTTTTCTCGCTGGTCACTTCCCAGGGTGGTGGTTTGCAGCGGGGAGCACCTGCAGCCAAGCCTAGTCCCAGCCCAGGGTACGCTGTACAGTTACTGTCTAGGTGCTTGGCGACCTTGCGTTGAATGTCCACCGTATCTACCCAGGCGAATCCGAGGCGCGTTATGGCTGTCTGGTCGTACCGCACGGTTTCGTACGTGGAAACACGGTCGGGTATGGTTCAACAGCTTCAACGACATCAGCTGTGCGAAGGGCAACCCTGACGACCTTTCGCCACCGTCCCCCGCCGAACAGCACGTGATAGGTTCCTTGTAACGAGAACATTATATTCCTTTGGACTACCTGTAGGTGTTGCATACATTCTTACAACACAGAATAACACAACAGTATATGAATACAAGTAACTAGAAGGCCCAACTTGAGAATATTCATCCATCATCAGCACAATTGGAGTACACATTTTCAGAAACAATACCAAATGTTTTGGAAAAAAAAAATGGTTTCAGCGTTCCACCACCAACGTAATTCGCACCACCCCGATTTTGCATATGTGAAATGTCACCAAACTTCCAAAGCCTTGACACTCAGTATGTTCGTGGATGGACATTGAACAAGCTTTTAAGTCCCGTCCTAATTACTACATAGAACATAGCAACACCACTATAACGACGGAGTCAATGTGTTTGAGTGTTTCTACACAATTGGATGAGTGAATCCCAGCATCGATGCTTTCAGGTGGTGACCAAACTTGACTTCAGCTGTATCGAAATTTTCCTGCAAAAGAATGGCACAACAAAGTGAATCAAATATAAAGGTACTCATGAGATGGCCTCACAACCACTAACACACAGGAACACCACTGCATGCGAGCATATCACATTCGTGATTTAGGCGCCGTCACGCGATATGGAAAATATGCTGCTGATGGCTGCTTGTGCTGCACCCGGAGGTTCATGAGCTGACATGGAAAATATGCACACACCCACTCATAAACACATCACTCACACCCACACCCGCACCCACACTTACTCAACCACCCCCACACACATCACTTACAGGTCTGATGCTAGAAGATCTGCTGCCCGCAGATCTGATGTCAGAGAATCTGATGTTTACAGTTCTGATGCCAAAAAAATATGATACTCCCGAGGTTCCAGCAGCTTGTTGAGGAGCAGAATTGTTGCTGGTGGCGCTTCTGCTTCTGCTGTTGCTGCTTGTGGTGCTACTTGTGCTGCTGCTGCTTCTGGTGCTGCTGCTTCTGGTGCTGCTGCTGCTCCTGCTTCTGGTGCTGCTGCTTCTGGTGCTGCTGCTGCTCCTGCTTCTGGTGCTGCTGCTTCTGGTGCTGCTGCTGCTCCTGCTTCTGGTGCTGCTGCTTCTGGTGTTGCTGGTGGTACTTGTAACATTGGGGCATCGTGGGACGACGGCTTGGGTGACTTTTGCGTCACCTCAAAAGTGAGCTGACTCTCTTGACTCGTGCTACACTAGAGGAGAAAAGGTTAAGGTACAAATTACAAGTACTTGTAACATTAGGGTGTTATGTTTTGAGTCGACTCAAAACAGAACTCGTGCTACACTAGTATAGAAAAGGTAAAGGTAAAAAATACAAGTACTTGTAACATGAGAGCGCTGCTGGGAGATGGCTTTGTCATGGTGCCCTTGGGGGAAGGAGGAGGAGAGGGAGGAGGAGAAGGAGGCGAAGGAGGAGGAGGAGGAGAAGGAGGAGGGAAGGGTGGGAAGGAGATGCTCTCGGATCTGCACAAGGGAGGGATCGAGAGAAGAATGGGAGGGAGGGAAGCAGGATTCTTGCTCAGACCCGCACAAGGGAGGGAGCGAGAGAAGAATGGGAGGGAGGGAAGCAGGATACTTGCTCAGACCCGCACAAGGGAGGGAGCGAGAGAAGAATGGGAGGGAGGGAAGCAGGATACTTGCTCAGACCCGCACAAGGGAGGGAACGAGAGAAGAATGGGAGGGAGGGAAGCAGGATACTTGCTCCGATCCGCACAAGGGAGGGCACAAGTGGGAAATGTGAGGGAAGTGGGGAGCTGGACTTGTAGCAATGGTCACACAGAAGGAGAAGGAGGAGGGAAGGGTGGGAAGGAGAGGCTCTTGAATCTGCACAAGGGAGGGAAATGCGGCAGAAAGGAGAAAGGAATGTGACCGAAGGAAGGTGGGCTGTGACACAAGGGAGGGGGGGAATGTGATACAAGGGAGGTGGGGAATGTGATTTTAGGGAGGTGGGGAATGTGATACACGGGAGGGAATGTGATACACGGGAGGTGGGGAATGTGATACACGGGAGGGAATGTGATATAAGGGAGGTTGGGAATATGATATAAAGGAGGTGGGGGTTATGATAAGGTGGTGAATGTGACTCACCTGCATTGTGCAACCATTTCTTTTATGAGCCGGCGGCTGGAGGGATCTATGGGGAGTGTGGGCCATCCTTGCACCTGCGGGGTGTGTGAAGAATGTGATATAAAGGAGGGAGGGCAAAACACACGGGAGGTGGTGAATACTGAGTTCATAAGTTGTAGCTGGAGGGATCTATGGGGAGTGTGGGCCATCCTTTCACCTGCAGGGTGTGTGAAGAATGTGATATAAAGGACGGAGGGCAAAACACACGGGAGGTGGGGGATGCTGAGCTCATTAGTTGTAGCTGGAGGGATCTATGGGGAGTGTGGGCCATCCTTGCACCTGCGGGGTGTGTGAAGAATGTGATATAAAGGACGGAGGGCAAAACACACGGTAGGTGGGGGATGCTGAGCTCATTAGTTGTTGCTGGAGGGATCCATGGGGAGTGTGGGCCATCCTTGCACCTGCGGGGTGTGTGAAGAATGTGATATAAAGGAGGGAGGGCAAAACACACGGGAGGTGGGGAATGCTGAGTTCATAAGTTGTAGCTGGAGGGATCTATGGGGAGTGTGGGCCATCCTTGCACCTGCGGGGTGTGTGAAGAATGTGATATAAAGGACGGAGGGCAAAACACACGGGAGGTGGGGGATGCTGAGCTCATTAGTTGTAGCTGGAGGGATCTATGGGGAGTGTGGGCCATCCTTACACCTGCGGGGTGAGTGCGTATGCACGTGTGATTGCGTGCATACATGTGTGCATGTCTCGTGTGTGTGTGCATTCTTATCGTGTGTGTGTGTGTGTGTGTGTGCGTGCGTGCGTGCGTGCGTGCGTGCGTGTGTGTGTGTGTGAGAATGCACACATTCGTTTATTCATGTGTACACTAAGACTCTCGCCTCAGGTGTGGAGAGAAGGAGGCCCGTTGTGTTCCCATACGCTGAGATGAACTCTGAAAGAAGCAGAGGCACTTGAGTGAGAGAAGCGAAGGAGGAAGAGGGAGTGAGCATATCAGAAGCAGCTAGCTTGCTAGCTCTGTTGACAGAGGGGGAAATGACGACATCAGAGGAAGGGGAAGAGGAAGAGGAAGGGGAGGAGGAAGGGGAGGAGGAGGGAGAGGGCATAGAGGCAGCAGCAGCTAGCCTGGTAGCTCTGTTGGCAGAGGGAACAATGACAACACCCGAGACCGGCTGGGACGTGCATGGGACGGATC